ATTCTGGGAGTCTCTGACGCCCACACAGGGCGCGAGATTCGAATCACCGTCAGAGGCGGTCAGCCATTACCGCCTACGCTCTCCAGGAGCATGAAATTCAAATAACGCTGCAAACGGCCATTGCAGCCTGAGCCATAAGCATAGCCCAGAGAGAACAGAGAGATTCAGTGGAACCTCTCAAGAGCTGAAGTCACTAGCCTGGCAAGAGCACAAAGGGCCGTTTTTTTGTCGTCCCAGAGAGATTACACAGCTGTGTAACCTGCAGAAGTTCACAACATGAACTCCAACCCAGCCTTCCCACCGTTCAAGCCTGATGAAGAAAAGTGGGAGTCATACAAAAATCGTTTTAACCACTACATCGATGCCATTGGCCTGGCTGATGCTGGGAAAAGAAGTCATTCTTCCTCAGTTATTGCGGAGCCATCGTTTTTGATACCGCCACAGCACTCGTTGCTCCACGTGAGTTAAAGAATGTTCCCTGGGCAGAATTGCTGGAGATCCTCACAAACGATTACTCCCCCAAGCCTTCACAAATTGCGAGACGTTTCGCCTTCCGGATGAGGAAGCAAGCTGAAGGGGAAACTATCAACCAGTACATGGCCGCCTTGAGAACCGCAGCTCTCCACTGCGAGTTCAAGAACTACTTAGATGACATGCCCCTCGACCAGCTCGTCTGCGGGGTCAAGGACCTTCACCTCCAGAGGCGACTGCTTGCCAGGAAGGATCTCAACCTCTCCCAGGCCGTCGAGGAAGCCTTGGCTGCAGAGCTGGCAACCCAGTCAGCCACCGAGATTCAAGGGTCCGTTCCCAAACAAAGCTGTGCCACCATCCATTCGGAGGAGGTGATCAACGAAGACGATCCCAACGATCAAACAGACATCCACCGTCTCACCCAGGCTAAGCAACCTCAGGTAGGAACCAGGCAAGAAAGCAACAGTGCACCCAAACATATCATCCTGTGCCTATCCTGTGGCGGACCACACTCGAGAGCTTCATGCAGATTCAAGGGTGCCACCTGCAACAATTGCCACAAAAAGGGCCACATCGCCAGGGTCTGCCAGGCTGCTCACAGCTCTGCACAAAGGGTTCCTTCCTTTCCCCATTCTGGGCACCAAAGGCAAGTACTAAAGTGTCACACTTGCTACCATGCTAACCACACCTGTCATTCTATTAGTAAAATCACACTCTCCATTTTATTAGAAGGTAAACCTTGTCGTATGGAGGTTGACATGGGGTCAGCGCTCTCAATCATCTCTTGGAGCACACTCAAGAAAATCCAGCCCAGACTATCCAGAAACCAACTCCAGAAGTGCCAGCTCACCTTGAGGGACTATCAAGGGAAGGACATCCCAGTACTCAGCAAAGGCAAGTTCCTTGTTAATTTTAAAGCTTTCAAAGGCCACCTGCCTCTAGTGGTAGTTAACGGCAACCTCCCTAGTCTCCTGGGGCTTGATTGGTTCCCCTACCTCGGCCTAGGGTTAACAGGAGTCCATGCTGTCTCAGCTTCTGACACTGACTCCTTATTCACTGACTACTCAGATGTATTCAGCGATGAGTTGGGGTGTTATAACGGTACCCCCATCTCATTTGCAGTTGACCCCCAAGCAGTTCCAGTCCAGCTGAAACCTCGTAGGGTACCATTCGCCATTCGGCCTAAACTGGACGCGGAACTGGACAAATTATTAAAGCAAGGGGTCATTGAGCCTACAGACTTTGCCAAATGGGAGACGCCAATTGTCACACCCCTTAAAAAGGACGGCAGTCTGAGAATTTGTTCGGATTACAAAACAACAATTAACCGCTTTCTACAAGTTAGCGCTTACCCAGTCCCGGTCATTCAACATTTATTGCACACTTTTGAGCCTGGCACCATTTTTGCCAAATTGGACATGTCACAAGCGTATCAAGTTCCCTGTTGACAACCAAACAGCCGAATTACAAACTATTGTGACCCACAGGGTTGCTTTCCGGTGCAGGCGTCTCCAATTTGGCGTAAGTGTTGCCCTTGGCATCTTCCAATCCCTCATGGAGCGAATACTTCAGGGCCTCCCTGGCGTAGTACCCTACTTCGACGACATATTGGTCTCGGCCAGGGACAGACCCCAACTCTTCCAGAGAGTCAGAGCAGTGTTAGACAGGTTCAGACAGCATGGCCTCAAATTAAAAAGGGAGAAATGTGCCATTGCCACTAGACAGGTGGACTTTCTGGGCTATAGAATTGACGCCTCAGGCATTCACCCCCTAGAATCCAAAGTCAAGGCAATCCATGAGGCACCCACGCCAACCACTAAAGCCGAGCTACAAGCCTTTTTGGGATTATTGAACTTCTATGCGTCATTCCTACCTCACAAAGCGTCAGTAGCAGAGCCCTTACACAGGCTCTTAGATAAAAAATCACCTTGGCACTGGGGACACAAGGAAGACACCGCCTTTCGCGCAGTCAAATCACTGCTCACATCAGACGCAGTCCTTATACAATTTGACCCACGTCTTCCATTAGTACTAGCAGCTGATGCATCCCCTTTTGGGATTGGAGCTGTCTTAAGCCACAGACTACCCAACGGCTCCGAGGCACCAATCGCTTTCTTTTCCAGAACGCTCTCAGCAACAGAGCATAATTACAGCCAAATTGATAAGGAGGCTTTGGCCGCAGTTGCAGCAGTAAAGAAATTTCATGAATTCCTTTTTGGCCACAACTTCAAACTGATCACGGACCACAAACCTCTCCTGGGTCTTCTATCCGGAGACAAGCAGACTCCCCAAGTGTTGTCTCCCAGGATGACGAGATGGACCTTGTTCCTGGCGGCATACTCATACAAACTCATCCACCACCCAGGAAAAACGTTAAGCCACGCAGATGCCCTCAGCCGCTGCCCCCTGCCAGCTCCAGCTGAGGATCCGGCCCCGGTCCATGCCATCTTCGATGTCACCGAGCTCGACCTTCCTGTCACCGCCCTCGACATCGCCACCAAATCCAAGACTGACAAGACAATCGCCCAGGTACTGGGCTGGGTGAGGAGGGGGTGGCCGGGCACTAACCTCGCAACCGAATTCACACCTTTTAAGACCCGTCAACAGGAACTATCTAGCTTGCAGGGCTGCCTGTTATGGGGCACCAGAGTCATCATCCCGGCCTCACTTCGCACGCCAGTCTTAGAGGCACTACACGAGGGCCACCCGGGCATCGTCCGGATGAAGGCGTTGGCTCGGAGTTATGTCTGGTGGCCTGGCCTGGACGACGACATCGTCAAGTGGGTAAGCTCTTGCCAACCCTGTCAGGAATCCAGACCATCCCCTCCAGTCGCCACCCCCACAAAGTGGGAGAGCACCAACGCGCCTTGGTCAAGACTTCACATTGACTTAGCCGGTCCAATACACGGCAAAACCTTCTTGGTGGTCGTGGATTCATACTCTAAATGGATCGATGTGGCCCAACTATCCACAACCACCACGCAAGCGGTTACCAAGGCATTGACCCGTCTATTCGTGACACACGGGCTACCAGATACCATAGTTTCGGATAATGGCCCCCAGTTCGCCTCGACAGAATTCAGCCGCTTCGCCATCAATCTTGGCATCCGACACATCTTCACGGCCCCCTTTCATCCTGCCAGCAACGGATTGGCAGAAAGAGCTGTTAGGTCCACAAAAGAAGCGTTAGCCAGATTCAGCAAAGATGACTGGCATCACAAACTCTCCCGCTTCTTACTAAGCCAACACTCTACCCCATGCATGGTCACCAACAAATCCCCAGCTGAACTCCTGATGGGTAGACGCCTAAGAACTGTGTTGGATAGGCTTCACCCTCACTATTGCCCTGACACCCCTCTTGCTTCAATGACGGGGGTCAGAGATTTTGTCTTGCAGGAACATGTCTTTGCAAAGAACTACGCCGGAGACCCACTTTGGATTCCAGGGGAGATTGTAGCCATCACCGGTCCCAGGTCGTACCGAGTCCAGCTGGAAGACGGTCGCATCTGGAGAAGGCACCTGGACCAGCTAAGGAAGCGCCAGGGTACCCTCGCCAGCGCTGGGTCGTGGGCACAGGTCAGCCCCCAGGTGCCACACCAAACTCTCATCGAAGACCATTCCAGAGGCTCTTCACCACCATCACCCGAGCCGAGGGAGCAGGCAGTAGACCGGGACTGCCCGATGGATACTCCGCCTGAACCATCTGATGGAGCCACGGTATCGCCAGCCAGAAGCACTTCACCGGTACCAACTCAGACCTCTGAGCGGGCCCGCACTCCAGCACCAACCCTGCCAATTTCTCCGAACTCTGAAACACTTGGTAACTCGCCTGAGTTACGACGCTCAGGGCGCCAGCACAGACCACCCGCTTATTTAAATGACTATGTGTGTTCGCATCTGGGGGGAAGGGGTGTTATGTCCCTGGAACTTGCCAAAGTTCCCACCTAGGTCCGTTCATGCTGCGGGGGCGTTTGCTGCCCCTCATTGGCTGACTTCCCTCGACAGCCGGCTATAAAAGCCAGCTGCAGGGTTCGGTCAGCCGCTGTTCGCTGTGAGCCTGCTCCAGGCAGTGCTAACACGTTCAGTCCTTTATTCTCTTAATAAAGTCTTGTTGCACCCATGCCCTGGTCTAGCCTCTCATTGCTCAATCTACAACATTTACAACTCTTAATGCCTTTTTGGTAATGCTGTTACAGTGAGCTCTGGCGTTTAAGTCATTTGATATGAGAACTCCAAGGTCCTTGACAGAGTGAGGATTATCAACGAGGTCATATCTGCCTAGTTTGTATTTGGTGTACTGATTATTTTTTACCAATGTGTAGGACTGAGTTTAGGCACACTTTGGTTAGGATACCACATGAGGAGCCAAATTACTGCAAACCTGCTATCCATGCTACATGTAGAGATTATCTTGACAGACCATATATTGTTGGGCTATCATATGCCCCAAGAGGTATATGTGTAGTGACATATTCTCAGAACACATAAAACATGTTGGGTTATTTTAATGTGAATGAAAGAATGCATACCCAAGTAGAAACAGAACAATCATATCTCTGTTCGAAACTGGAGTGTAGTTCCTGTCATTTGCATCTTGTAATTCTCATCAAAACGCTCGTTTTGTGCCACTGTGAATTGGTTCTTCCAGTCACCAGCAACTCCTAGATTGAAGGAGAAATAATTCCCAACATTAGTTTCCTTGATGTTCTCTGAGCATGGTGGGTGTTTGCAGTCATTTAATTAGTTACCCAAGTAGGTAACATTTTAAACGTCGTTATTTTGCAAGAAATAGCTCAGGGTTGAACTACGGAGCCCTTGGTGTTCTCTGAGCTTGGTTGCTTAGAGACATTTTATTATTCAATTAGATATATATTTTCTATTGCAACATGACTATTTCAAAACTGGGTAAGGTAAAGTTGAATCCCAGTAGGAGATCCCTACATAGCAAAGCATTTGTTGGACTATCTCAAAAAGGCTCTCCTAAAATTAAACAGCTCAAATTTCACTGAAAGTATTGCCCAAATCTCTTAAAATGTTGGTAATCTCTCATGAGCTTTGGGATGTTTTGCAGATTTGCGTGAGATTTTTGGTGAAACCTTTTTGAGATAGTTGCAGATCTCCATATTTAAAGTATGTACACCTGGATTGTTTTTCCTGATTACATGATGACACCTATTACCAGGAAAAATTATAGTTTGCAAAATACAGATGTATTTAATCATTAATACGCTAAAACAACATGTAATATATGACTGCCAGAACAGTAATACACGTTTTTCTTCTCTCTCTCATCTATTCTTTCTGTCTCCTTTCAGTCAAGGCCACTCTCTTGGACACAGCTGGAGTTGGGGTGAGGCCTGTTTCTCCAATCCAGACTTCTTCTTTTTGCCTCTAACCTGAATGGTAGACTCTAAAATTCTAAGTCAGAGATCCCAAACTGGTGAATGATCCCCAACTGGTAAATGTAGAATACAAGTAGTCTACAATGCATAACAACATTGGGCTCAACCATCATTAAATGAACTGTTGAAATTGAGGACTACCAACGTGCTCCCTTCTTTCCAACGATGTGGTGGGGACTATTGTAGGAGTAACATAAGCTCTATTTATTGAGAAGCTTCCAGACAGAAGGCTCCTAAAAATACTTCTCAAGAAACATGATATGATGGTGTGTGTTTTTTTTTAGTTTATTTTCTCTAGAGAATAAAATTAAGGGAAAAATGGGCAGAGGGTAAATGGAAGACATACATTTGGAAGAAAGGGGAAGCAAGCAGGAGACATCTATCAGGCTTACCAGGTAAACCAGATAGAAATATCATCAGATAACCTAATTCAACTTTATTGTAAAGCTACATTAAAAAAATCTGAAAGTACAATTCTTCTGCTATCTCATTTAGAGCCTGAGAAACTAGCGAGGGTCGCTTCTAAGCTTCCTTCTCCTCTCACTTTCCAGCTGCAGATTATGCTGTCTTTAATTTGATCATTCCTTAGACAGCATCCCTTTGCCCCATTGCTCAGGATCTGTCCCACACACCATTACACAATCTCACTTTCTCAAATATTTTTCTTCATGTGGGTTAGACTTGTCAGACTGCAAGATCTAATTTGCCTGTTTCTTACTTGAGGTTTCTATAAAAGCTGTGAAATCTCCAGAAAATGATCAAAATAAGAGAGTCATTTAGTTCCTCACAGAATATAGAACAACATAGAGTTGAAAGGGTCCTTGGAGGTCATCTAGTTCAACCTCTTGCTTGAGCAGGAGAGCCTATATCATTTCAGACAAGTGACTATCCAGTCTCTTCTTAAAAGCCTCCAGTGATGGAGCACCCACAACTTCTGAAGGCATTCCATTGGTTGTTTGCTCTTATCCTTAGGAAAATTCTCCTTAGTTCTGAGTTCTTCTCTCCTTGGTTAGTTTCCATCCATTGTTTCTTGTCTTGCATTCTGGTGCTTTGGAAAATAATTTGACCCCTTGTCTTTGGAGGAGCCCTTCAAATATTGGAACACTGCCTAGTCCTTCTTTTCACTAAACTAGACAGACCCAATTCCACCAACTGTTCTGTCTATGTTTTAACTTCCAGCCCCCTTGTTGCTCTTCTCTGCAATCTTCCCTGAGTCTCATCATCAAGGGCCCAGGCATAACCTTCTCTGTTAATGACATATTAGTCTTCCCCAAGCCATTGTATTGTATTTGCTTGGAGACATTTCATTACCTGATGATCATCATCACCTGATGATCATCATCTACAACCACGCTCAGAGAGCACCAAGTACTCCACACTTCAACTCTGAACTGCATATATCCCCTTCTATTCAAAATAATCATGCTAGTTTCTACCACTTGTTCCAACTTGTTAAAAATCATGGTCATTCTTTCTGGAAAGTCTTGGAGTTGAAGCCCATACATTTACAAGCTGCTCAGCTTGGTTGTACATGTACCATCAAGCCTATTTGCTTACAACAATAATATTACATCGGCATGGTACAATTATTTTGACCTGTGTCTCATTTTTTCTCAAATAGATCAAGGTCATATTAGAAGCAGAAAGCTTGACTTCAAATTCCATAATCTCTGACCAGCAGAGATAGTACATGTAGTCCTCGACTTATGACCACAATGGAGTCAAAAAATTATGTTGCTAATTGAGACATTGTTAAGTGAGCCATGCCTCATTTTATGACCTTTATTTCCAGAAAGGTGAATCACTGCAGGTGTTAAGTTAGTTACATGATTGTTCAGTGAATCTGGCTTCCCTATTGAATTTGCTTGCAAGAAGGTCGCCAAAGGTGATGACTACATGACCCAGGGACACAGCAACCATTGTAAATGTACCATAAGTTAGTTACCAATCTTCTGAATTTTGGTCACATGATCATGGGGATGCTGCAATGGTCATAAGTGTGAAAAATGGTCATAAGTGACATTTTTCAGTGTTGCTGTAACTTTGAACAGTCACTAAATAACTATTGTAAAGACTAGCTGAAATCCTGGTGGCTGGGAAATCTTAACACATTTGGACCATGTCAATTTCGATAAGGTAACACTACTATTTTAGCCTTTTATGTGTGTTATAAATATAACTCCATCCAGCCCCAGTTTGGTTATTTGATAGGCTCACCTTTCCGCATAAAAGGAGAAACAGTGTGATCCATAACTGAAGTGGGAAGGCTTTTGTAATTAGCCATCTGGTTCTGACTCATCACTTTGAAGGAAGTATGGTGTGAAATCTTCTTGACTAAGTTTTCATCAACTGGCCTCTCTAGGAATTCCATTATCTTTCGAATCTCCCGTTCTGGATCCTGTGTACAAACAACAATCAAGTAGTGAAAGTCAAGAATTTTGGATTAGGAAGAGTTTTGAGGTACAGGTATATCGTGTTATATTAAATAAATTAAATTAAAATACACTATCCTTTGTGATTTGACAGCTATTACCTATCTGGTGTACAGTTATAAACCAGTCAAGAATGTTTCTTATTATAATGCTTTGCAGTTAGACACATGTACAAGCAATGTTTAGCCATGAGTTTCATTATGAGTCAGTATTATTTAATGCCAAGTATAGCTAACCAAAGTTTAGCCTGGCAGCAAAACAGCTATCCTGAGGAAATGATTAGCATGGAGGAAGTGAGAAGAGAGATGGGAGTAACTGTCTTGTATTCAATTTTGGGGTGGCTCTGATTTAGATAAAATAGGCCTATTGAAATTAGTAAAATAAGACATGACACTTAGTTTCTATGGGTTTACTCTCAGGCATCTCTACATATGTCAACTTCCTTCTGTGATCAGGAAAAGAATGTAAGAAATGTCTTGCTGGACAAATACAAAGTAAAATAAGTATGTGGAAATAAAAGAAAACAAGTTTGAATGGATGACAAAATTTTGCATTCTTCATCTCCTATTTGTAGGTTTTCAGGAGCATCTAATTAAAATCAGAATGCTGGAGCAAGGGATCTTTTTAAGGAACTTGAAATTTTTGGCCCTGGAGATACTATAGAAGTCCCACCCAGTCCTCCCTATTGGCAATTCCTAAGACTTGTAGAAGAGGATATCTATGTTCCATACCTAAATTTTAATGTGGGGAAAAGAAGTGAAAATTAGAGTAGTAGCGAATAAGAAGGTTAATAAAAGGAGCAGAAAGAATCTTGCCTCTTTCAGGTCTTCATAAAAGAGGTACAGAATCCTATATTTCTTCATGAGGTCCCACCAACCTTTGACGTGATCATACCAGGATCCAAAAGACACTGAGGAGAGAAATAGAATGCTTGTGAATGATTGGGCATTTTAGTACAACAACATGGAGAAAGCTACAGTTTCCTTACTACTTATTTTGGTTCGGACATCAGGAGTATGAAACAGGAGTAGAAACTCTAGTAGAAGTTGACAGTCAAGCTAAAGAACCATACATTTACATGGACATATCTGCCCAAACGGAAAGGATAATAAACAAAGTCCAGTGTCAAAAAACAGTTCAGTAAGACTTACATTAAAACCAGAAAATATCAGTCAATTAGGAAAAATGGAGGAACGGCAACACTTTCCAGCAGAAGGAAACAGAGATACACTCACACTCTCTTCTGAAACTCAGACTAAAACAATCCAGGTTTCTGGCTCCATCTTATGGCTGTTTGAAAAACCACACCCAACTGCAGTTTTTGCAATCTCTTAAAGACATAGTACGAAAATGTTTATCCTGGTTTATATATTTCTAACCCAAATACCTGTTAGGCGACTTATACTCCTAACAATAATAATAAGAAGGTTCTGATCTGACCTTCTCATTCACAGAATTTCTGTGAAACATCTCACTAGTTCCAAGAGCTTCTACAAGGCCGTCTTCCCCCAAAATGGTACCCAGTCACCCCCATTATTTGCTTTCTTAGCTGCAGGTAGGATCAGTATCATATTCTGAAGTTACCCTATCAAGGAGGGTTAATATCAAACTCAATGCTTGGAAGGATTTATTATCCACTTACCACTTCCGTCCATAAACTTCTCCAGAAATTCTTCCCATGTTCCAGGCTCTGGGTGTACTTTTGCCATTTGGTAGAAGTAATAGTATGAGACAGCCACATCTTTGGCATTTCTGGCCACATAGATAACCTGTTGAGTGACAAACAAGAAAGTTAATTAAACTGATAATGCATTTCATTTCTGAGGATATGATGTATAATGATTTGCAGAAGTTCATTACCAATATGTTCTTGTGTTCAATTGACTAGTTCTTCATGCATTAATATTTTTTCTCACCTTGCAGTTCTTTTCCAAGAAGGATTTGGGGAGCATTTGGACAGGAAGGTGGGTTTTAATTAGACATGGACGGGGTACTTCCTTAAGCAGATCAATGCCTGGAAGGGAAAAAAGAATAATCGAAGAGACTTCTCCCATACTCTCTCCACCCTCCATTACCCTATCAATACCAGATACATTCTGGATGAATTTGCTTGCAGATATCTCAACTAGCATTAGGAAAAGCTATGGAGATGTCTGCAAGTAATCTATCATATTATATGGTTTGCATCCTCTCCCATCTTCACCGTTGATATTTCTATTCCAATGTTAGGTGCGAAAGACTTAGGACCACACATGAACTTCCAACTTAACTGATTTATTATTCATGCCTGTGCACAGGAATCTACTCAACTAACAGCACTAGATTGGCATTAGATAAAGGTCAACAGAATTCAAGAAGGGTTAGAATTAGTTAGTCCATTTGTAGCTATGCAGAGACTCTAGGCTGATACCACTTTTGAGTCTGCCCTCGGGTTCTGCCACTCCTTCTCCCACAGTCACCTCACAGGCTAGACTTCCAACTCCAACCCTCTTCTCCCCAATTGCTGTCTAGAGGGGAAGACACCTATGATGTTTTACCTGTAGGGACATCAGGTACAGCAAATTCCAGGAAAGGGACTCGCATGTAGATGGGCTGAACTTTGCATTTTTCCAGACTGCCTTCTTTGTAGATCATGTCTATTATCTCACTGACCCAGGTGGTCCCTGAAAAAGCACAAGAAAGTTGGACGTGCTCAACCAAGATCATTTACAAGAAACAGATTGTTGCCTAAAACAAAACATGATTCTTGTTATAGCTACAACAGGTAGACAATGGCTGTAGGAAGTCTACACACCCATTTAAAAATGCCAGGTTTTTGAGATGTAAAAAAATCAGACCAAGATAAATCACTTCAGAATTTTTACATCTTTAATATAACATATAAGTTGTACAATTGAAAAACAAACTGAAATCTCTCAGGGAGAAAAAATAAAAACAAAAACCTGGAATAAATAAAATAAAAACCTGCATAAGTGTTCAAATTCTCTTATGAGTAGGAATGTGGCTGTATTCAGAATTAACCAATCATATTAAAACTAAAAATAATAGTCAGCATACATCTGCCATTAATTAAACTGGCTCTGATCAAGCCCATATAAAGTTCAAATTGAATTTTTTCTATATTTACTCAGTTGCCTCTTAGAGCAAAAGCCATGGTCTGCAAAAAGCTTATAAAGCACGGGTGTTTAACTCACAGCATCAAATTGCCATCATATGCTGTATCGTGACTTTTTCCCCTTTGTGGAGTTTGTGCAGGCATGGACTGCATCCAGCCTGCAGGCCATCAGTTTCACACTCCTGTTATAGGGTCTCCTGCTTGAGCAGAGGGTTGGACTAGAAGACCTCCAAGAACCCTTCCAGCTCCATTCTGATTGAAATTGATTGGATCTCATTGTTGGAAGGTATCACTCAAGAGGAGAGTACAAAAAATGTCCAAAGCATTGGATATTCTATGGAACATAATGCCATGGAAATTTTTTGTACAAAGCACAATGAAGACAGTCATCAACAAGTGTAGAAAACATGGCACAATAGCAACATTACCAATGGATGCCTCTCCAAAATTGATGAAAAAACAAGAAGGAAACTGGTTCAAGAGGCTGCTAAGAGGCCTACAGCAACATTTAAGGAGCTGTAGGAAATTCTGGCAATTATTGGTTGCGTACTATTTGTGACGATGATCTTCCATATTTATCATATGCCTTTGGCAAGATAGAAAGAAAACCTCCAAGCCTTGGTACATTTTGCAAAAACCTACATCATGTCTGAGAAAAGGATGTGAGAAAATATGCTATGGTCTGATGAGACCAAGGTTGAACTTTTGACTATATTGTAATTCCAGAAAGTATGGTTGGCACAAACATAACACTGTGAATCAGGAGAAATACACCATCCCCACAGTGAAGCATGGTTCTGGCACTCTTATAGGTTGGGGTTGCTTTTCTCCAGCTGAAATTGGAGGGAAGATGGAGGGAATTATGAATGGTTCCAAATATTAGACAATTTTGGCACTTAAGCTTCAGACCTCTGCTAAAATGTTAAAGAGGAAGAGAAATTTCACCTTTCAATACGACATACCACACCTTCAGATCAACAAAAAATAGCTTCACTCAAAGTTTTGAAATAGCCCAGAGTCCAACTGAAAATCTGTGGGGTCACCTGAAGAGGGCCTTGCATAAAAGATGCCCTCACAATTTGACAGATTTTGAGCACTTTTGCAAAGATTCATAAGGCAAAATGAGCCATACTCATAGGCTCTTACCCCAAAATATTGAATGTTGTCATAAAATTATAGGGGCTTCAACAAAATATTAGTTTAAGAATGTGCAACCACACTTTTGTAAGTTTTTTACTGTTACTTTTCTCCCTAAAAGATTTTAGTTAGTTTTTCAGTTGAATTATATAGCTTGCATAGGTGGTCTTCAACATACAACCATTTGTTTAATCAGCTTTCAAAGGTACAACAACATTGAAAAAAGTAACTTATGACTCTGTTTCATACTTAAGACCATTGCAGCATCCCCATGGTTAGGTGATCAAAATTCTGGCACTCAGCAACTGGCATGTATTTATGATGGTTGCAGTGTCCCTAGGGTCATGTGATCACTTTTTGCAGCCTTCTGACAAGCAAAGTCAATGGGGAAGCCAGATTCATGTAACAACCATGTTACTAACTTAACAAATGCAGTGATTCATTGAACAACTGCGGCAAGAAAGCGGCATCAAGTGGAGAGAACTCACTTAACAACTTGCTTAGCAATGGAAATTTTGGGCTCTATTATGTCATTAATTGAGGACTATCTGTATGTTATGTTAAAGGTAGAAAAACATTTGAATTGATTTATCTTGGTTTGATTTTTTTATATCTTAAAACTTGGCATTTTAACAGGGGTGTGTAGACTTTCTAGATCCACTTTATTTTCTGAAAGTGTTTTCCTACTCAACACTTCATTCTTGAATTAGAGTGAAATTGTCTGCTCCAGGTGCCAATCAGGAGTGGCAGGATATCCCTATCCATCTAAAATGCTTTTCTGATCCTGCCCTTTGGTGTTCCACCAGACTTCAATTCCAGTGTTACAAGTGGAAAAGCAAAATAGTTTTAGTTTTTTTGGTTTTTTGTTTTGCTATCGCAGGTTTTGCTATAACCTGGCTCTCTTCCTATTAATCTATTATGAATGCAAATGAGATTAAACAAAAGCAATAGAGGAGGATAGAGATTGGGCACCAGGCAGAGTAAATTTCATGCTGATTCAGTTTTCTTCCAAGTCAAACTTAAGATCAACAGAATTAAAAGAGTTTATTATTGTCAGGCCCAAGACTACCCAGTGAAATCCAATTAGGTCCAAACCTGTATTTGCTTATAAGCTAATGGACAGAATCTTGCCAAAGTAAAGCAATAACCTTCTAACCTACTACTCTATCCTGAAATTTTTTAGTGTGTGGCTATCCATGACTATGAGCTGCAGTGGCGCAGTGGTTAGAATGCAGAACTGCAGGCTACTTCTGCTGATTGCCAGCTGCCTGCAATTTGGCAGTTCAAATCTCACCAGGCTCAAAGTTGACTGAGCCTTCCATCCTTCCGAGGTCAGTAAAATGAGGACCCAGATTGTTGGGGGCAACAGGCTGACTCTGTAAACTTCTAAGAGAGGGCTATAAAGCACTGTGAAGCAGTATATAAGTCTAAATGTTATTGCTATTGCTACTCTAAACTTCTTCCCCCACCCTAATTCATTTTAGAACGGAATAACAGAATAACGACATAATAGAATAGAAAGGGACCTTGGAGGTTTTCTAATCCAACCTCCTGCTTAGGCAGGAGACCCCATACCATTCCAGACAAGTGGATATCCAGTCTCTTCTTAAAAGTCTCCAGTAATGGAGAACCCACCACTTCTGAAAGCAAACTATTCTACTGGTTGATTGGTCTCGCTGTTAGAAAGTTTTTCTTAATTCCAGGTTACTTCTCTCCTTGATTAGTTTCCATCCATTGCTTCTTGTCCTGCCTTCTGGTGCTTTGTAAAATAGGTTGATTTGCCTCTTCTTTGTGGCAGCCCCTCAAATATTGGAACACTGCTATCATATCACTCCTGGAGAAGCCCAGAAAAGCCCAGATTAAGAGTCTGCACAGTCTCCTAATCTGGGCCTTTGTCAGGGAAAGCTCTGCTTTGCCAAAACGCATATCCACGGATCATCTTAAATAACAAGAAAATTTATTTCCACATTCCATTTCATGACATATTAAGATAACCAGCGTACCCCATTTAAAGTTTGAGGAAACGTTTTATTTGTTTAATCAGTCTGTTTAACACATTATGAAAGTTTTCATCAGTTTAAATAGACCATTGTGTTTAGAATTGGCTGCTTGTTCTCCCAGATTTTGGCCTGAGCAGAAGAAAAGTCCAAAATCCCAAGATTTTCTTTAGGATAAACAAGAGGTGCCATCAATCAGAGTGGGAAAATGTTCTTCTAATGAGTTTCCTGAGTTGTAAAGAAAGTGACCCATAAAAGTGATAACGATGACAGGATTGTATTTGCAAAATGAAAAATGCTTTTGGAAAACATTGTTTTCAGTGAGAAATTGAGATCAGGGAAGAGAACAGGAGGCCGGTTCATCTGCCTAGGACAGGAGTCCCCAACTTTATGGCTTGGTGTTCCCACAGGGAAAGGGGAAGAAGGGAATTGGCCAATGCAAGTGGTGAGCCTGCCCACTGTAAATTGAGCTGCATGGCTGCCACTGGTACACGTCAAGCTGCACAAACACCTGCACATATACACCAACCAACAGATCACACAGCTCACTTATGAAACGGCCACAGCACGGTAAGTGGGCCATGGCCTGGGGTTGGGGTTGGGGACCCCTGGTCTAGAACTATCTGCTTTTCTGGACAGTCATGAGCAAAGCAGCTCTCCTCCTACTAGAAGTGTGGTTTTTATGTCCTATGTACAGGAAAGAAACTTAGAAGGGAGGATGGACAAGCAGGCAGTGAGAATGCATACTAAACACCCTGTTCTCCCTCATACACACCACTTAAAAGGGCAGTCTCTAGTAGCTAACAACGGCATATCAAATTAAACATTCCACCGGTTTTCTTATCAAATGAGAGTTCTGCTAATAAATATTTGGAAGCTATCCAGAGGTGTCCTGCTGTGAAGTCTTGCCTGCAAATTCATGCTGATTGTGTCTCTTTTTCACATGTACGTTTAGGCCACACATTAACCAAAATGTATTTTAAGTGACAGATGAAATTGCTTCAATAATATATCCCAAAATAATTCTGTTTTATATTAAATTGCATGTCAGCTATGCTGAATGCACCTAGCAATCTGTTAATAGTATACTATAATTTAGCAACAAGATATGTTTTTGCAAAAAAGAAAATTAGTAGGAAGAAAAATGCCTTCATGATGCAAAACTAAGGGCAATAAATCATTGGGATGCAGGGCAGCTGTAATGTAAGTAGATATGTCCCTTTTCAGGCGTATATAGTCAGCCTCTCAAAGAAAAAGTTGCTTTCCAGCTGCCTAGAACTTATTGTCTTGTGTGTTGATAGAACAAAGGGAAAGTAGAGAACTGGAAATTATCCACACATGAATGACCAGCATTTACATTCTTCATTTAAGAAAGTGAAGTCAAAAGCGTCACTCACCAGACTTGGGATATGTAGAGATCAGTAGATCATCTGGATGTGCTTCAAATCTTTCCACTTCATCATAGATTTCTGCAAAATACTTTATCATGGGGATCCCCTTAACAGGGACCAATGGAGGACGTACCTCTTCTTGCTTCATTTTCGCTGAGAATGGATTAAAGCGGAGAATGGCATTCTGAGGAAATGCAACTCTTTTCATCCAGAGTTAAGAGATTTGCAAGCCAACCCAGCAGCTATCCTGTATTCAGAGCCTCATGAGAATAGCAGTTTATAGAAGCACCCCCAAATGTTTCAGAACATCTGACATATAGAGATAGTCCTGTCACCCTGGACGCAGGATTGAAAAGTCAGCTGGAGGAGATAGATAGTAAGGAAGACATAGAGAAGGAATAGAAAAAAAGGAAAGCATATCTCTAACCTTGATATCCAAATATGCTATAATTTAAAATGTTTTCCTAAGAAACTGCAGTTTCTGTTTTTCACAGAAGTGTGAAAAATTGTTCAAGGGTAATCAAGGCAGTTTCAATCTTCACATGCTAGTCCCTCTTTTAAAGAAAACAGCAATACTCACCAGCTTGTATCTGCATATATTGGGGAAGACAGCCCTTAAGACAGCCCTTCACAAAGACCCAACAAGTTCTGATTCAAAACTTCTATTTTACATGACCCACATTCTTCCTTCCTTTTGCAAAGTGCAGCCAAGCAGGAAGAGTCCCAGCTGTCTGGAATATTTACCTTGGCTTGGATGGAGATGGCTGGCCTCCTGGTGGGCTTTGGCTTGGGAACTGGAGCAGAGGCAGATAAGTGAAGCAGCAGAGAAACTTTAGTCTGTACTGAGAAGAACTGCGAGTATTTAAGAGGAACTGGATTCAGCCGTCCTGATCCAGCCAAATAGGGAGGGCTTTGCCTTTTGAAACACATGTTTTGCAATGCTTGGCAGTGTTTGATACTAGGTTGGCTGGAAATCAAATCCTTTTTTTAAAAAGTTTCTGGCATTCAAACTTGCCTGAACTTCTTTCCCTCTTAAAGACATGTCATTAATATCAGCTTTGTAAGGTTTTAGACACCATATTTACTAGATGAATCTTCAAAGCCCCCTCTTCCCTTTACCTAGGAGGAAAACATGCCCCCTACAATCCTGCTTTTAAATGATATTTTCTGGATCTTGATTAACAAAGCAATTCTTTTAAGTAACTTCTACAAATCCCAAATGTCGTCATTATGATTTCGTAGATTTGGACTTGCAACTTTGCACAGAAAGAGCACATCACAAGATCAGAAGCTCAGGTGCTTATTACTTATTTATTGAAGGACATTTATTTATTAGCATATTAGAGGGCAGAACTCTAGTATTAAAATGAAACAGTTCTCTTTGATGAATTTTGACCGGAATTTAGATTTGATTCTTTGTCCTGTATATGGTCTACTTCCATTGATATTTTTTTCTGAGTTTCAAAGAAAGGACTTGGAGAAGTGAAAGCAAGTACTTCGATTTACTCCTGTTGGGCATAAGGAGACGATCAAAGGCAAAGGCAATCTTAGAAAAACATTAACTTTTTTGTCCTTCTTTGATAGATGTGTTGAATAAATTATATCAACCTGTAAATTAATGAACAATCAGGAGTTCCAAGAGCACCACGGGTCTTATGAATCTCCTTGTCAGTAAAAAAAATGTTCTGATATTTAAAATATTGAAAAGCCATTACAGTAAGATGACTTTTTATTGCAGGATTTACATTGTAAAACTTGGTAGGATTAATTTGTATTAATTAACTACAGGTATACCTTAGAAATATTGGAGTTTGATTCAAGACCACTATAATAAAGTGAATATTGCAATAAATAGCAATAGCACTTAGACTTATATACTGCTTCATAGTGCTTTACAGCCAGAGGTGGTATTCATCAGGTTCTGACCAGTTCTGGAGAACTAGTAGTGGAAGTTTGTAATAGTTTGGAGAACCGGCAAATCCCACCTCTGACTAGCCCTGCCCTCATCTATTCTCTGCCTCCCATTGAGTCCCAGCTGATCGGCTGGGTCTTCTTTGGTTGCCCTGCACAGGAGAATGGGGCTGGAAAGCAGGTGAGTGGGGTGGGGAGGGAATGGAGATTTTGCAGTATCCTTCCCTTGCCATGCCCACCAAGCCACACCACAATCACAGAACCGGTGGCAAAAAAAATTGAATCCCACCACTGTTTACAGTCCTCCCCAACATCTGGGTCCTCATTTTACCCACCTCGGAAGAATGGAAGGCTGAGTCAACCTTGAGCCTGGTGGGATTTGAATAGCCGATAGTTAGCAGAAGTGGCCTGCAGTACAATAAAGTGAGGCAAATGGGGTTTTTTTTTTTGTTTCCCAGTGAATTATTTTCTTTCCCAGTACATATAACAGGTATATTTACACAGGGTCTGAATTTTGATCATGTGACCGTGGGGATGCTGCAACAGTTGTAAGTGTGAAAAATGGTCATGTCATTTTTTCCAGTGCGGTTGTAACTAAATGAACTGTTGTAAGTCAAGGATTACCTGTATTTTCGTGCTAAAAAATGCTAATCATCATCTGAGCCTTCAGTGAGTGATAACCTTTTTGCTGGTGGAAAAAAACTACAATATTTGTGAAGTACAATAAACCAAAGCACAATAAAACGAGTACTGAATGCCTAACCTATAAAAGAGAAACGTGGGGTTGGATTGCATAGTCTTAGTGTGTTTAAACTTTAACCTAACAGCCAAATGTAAGAGGTGAAGAGACTCACTCACAAACTTTTGGGAGGGTGCCTGATCCATAGAATCCCTTTAGATGTAGTCCTCGACTTACAACCACAACTGAGCCCAAAATGTCTCTCGTTAAGTGAGCTTTGCCCCATTTTGTGACCTTGCTTACCACAGATGTTAAGTGAATCACTGCAGTTGTTAAGTTAGTAATGCAATTGTTAATTGAATATGTCTTACCCATTAATTTTGCTTTTCCAGGAAGTTGCAAAAGATTATCACAAGACTCTACGATGCTGCAACCACCATAAATACGTCAGGCAGAGGTGGTATTTAGCAGGTTCTGACCCATTCTGAAGAACCGGTAGCGGAAATTTTGAGTAGTTTGGAGAACCAGCAAACATTATCTTCAACTGGAGATTTTACAGTATCCTTCCCCTGCCACGCCCACCAAGCCATGCCCACAGAACCTGTAGTAAAAAAAATTGAATCCCACCACTGATGTCAGGTACCAAGTCTCTGAATTTTGATCACATGACTATGGAATGCTCTAAGGTTCCTCTAAGGTCTACTCTACTCTACTCTACTCTACTCTACTCTACTCTACTCCACTCCACTCCACTCCACTCCACTTCACTCCAGGCCATAAATGTGAAAAACTGTCATAAGTCACTTTTTTTCAGTTCCATTCAGTAGTGGTTTTCTACCGGTTCAGCCCACTTCTTCCAAGCCGGTAGCACTGATGAGTGGCAGAGACTGAACCAATTCTCTCCACCGCTCTGCTGTTGGGCCCACCCACTCACCCACCCAGGCTTCCATAGTCACCTTTATCCTCAGCTTTTGAAGTGCGGCTGCTTTGTGCGGCAAGAGTAGAATGCCACAAGGCAGCTGCTGAAGCAACCAGGAGAGTGCAGGTTTGCAGGAGGCGAGTGGGAACGCCTCTGCACCTGTACAAAGTGCGCATTTGGCACATGTGTCCATGCACAGTGTGTACACGTGCGCAAAATAGATTGGCCTAATCTGTGTTTGTGAGAGAATAATTGGGAGTTGGAGACAGAAAGTTAAAGATCCTGGAGGTAAGATTCTTGGTTTTGGTGCCCACAAATGAATTATATACTCTAAAAGATCAATGATAGCACTGTATCCTAGTTTTTATCTTTAAAGCATCAATTAAAAGACACCTAAGCCTATAAACTGAGAATAGTTTGTGGAACATGTTATTACTGGGAAGACTAAATGGAACTTGAACTGGAAATTAAGAGACAAAAATGGTTGCACCCATGTTTGTTCTCTAGAGAAAGTAGAGCTCTCCATTCTAGCCTAGCTTTCCTAACAAGTGGGAGACATGCTGGAAAATTGCTGGATCCTGTAAAAATATCTGCAAAGAATAACCATAATTATCTTTCAGAAATGGTGATCTCTAAATGTATTGGACCAAGGAATTCTGAAATTTGCTTGTGTGTGTGTGCATGTGTGTGTATGTGAGAGAGAGACAGAGAGAGAGAGCAGTTAGATCAGATCTCTCTCTCTCTCTCTCTCTCTCCCACCGTCAGCAAGCCACTGTCAGTCAAAATTCATGTTAGTGGTCCCTGGGACAGAGACTAACTTCTGTAATTGAGACATCAAACAAGCTAGCTAAATATTTTATATATTTAAAATCAGTCAGATCCTCTTGGAAATGAATGCCAGCTGAATAAGTCTGAGACCCTAGATTATGAATTCCTTCACAGGGACTGTTGGTTATGAACTTTGTTTTATTATTATAAAAGTTTTTATTTTTTCACATTTCAAAAACATTTTTTTTAGTGAACAGCATAATTCCAGGTTTTCACATTTCCATACAAACATAACCTTGATTACATATTCATCTTTCACATTTAGTTTCATATCCTATCATTTCTTTACATATTTTCTATTAATTTTCTAAATTATTCATTTCTTAACCTATTTCTTTTAACTTTAAATAATTGTCATATCATCATATTTATTGTGCTTTATACTTTTATCTGTCTGGTATGAAATTTCATCGCATATTCTTATTTCATCATTTCAAAAATTCCTTCTCAATTCAAATATTTCAAAAAAGTTTCCCCCACAGTTACCAATTAGAGTGTACCACCCCTATACCTTATATATCATTTGGTTAACTCCTCTTTAATTCCCAATAATCATTTAACTTTTAAATTATCACCTTAAAGATTAATAACAATAGTCTCCTAGCAACTACGTAACACACATACATTTTAAGTCAGATTCTGCATGGCACTTTTCCCTTCAATTACATCAAATCATTTATAATTTCAAAAAAAATTAGTCTACTCAATCATAAAAACTGATATTAATCCCATTACAGCAATCATCATAATTCATTTTAACTATATTCTTGAAGTTCATAAATTTATCATAGTTTCTCTTTTTCTCATTTATTCAATTTTTCTCTATATATAGTTTAACAAAGAACAAATATTCTAATAACATGAAAGTATCAGTTCCAATCTGTTCATTTTAAAAATCTATATTTTCCTACTAAGTAATTTATTACTTCAAATACATTAATGCTACACCACATCACCTTGCAGAATCCCCCTTTTTAATCCTTATTTAACCATTATCCCTATGTCTTTTAAATAAACAATTTCTTTTCATTTTTTAAAAGAGCCACAGAAATTTTCTTTTACCACTAGGTGGCACTCTTTGTTATATACAAGCCCCCCACCCCCGCCTTTTTTTTTCTTCTTATTTAGGGCTTTTAAAATTCAAAAATCCAGTAAGTCCACATATCAATTACTGGGTTTTTTTTTTTTTTTTGACAATCAAGTTCAGCTTTAATTATGCCTATTTAGTGCCAAAATCATATATTTATCCAATTTAAACAGGTATTTTCTTCTGGCTTCTTCCTTTCAAAGTTCAAAGCTACTTTCAGCTGTCAAAAATGTTTTCCCTCACTTTCTCTGGTCACTGCTTTTATTATCTTTCTTTAAAATTTCCTAAAATTTTAATTCCAGGGTACCTTTATGTTTAAATGTTGTGCCTGATTAGCCCGATTTTCTTGCTGTTCTCTTCTTCACCATTCCAGCACAATCTTTGTCCCAGTTACCTCTTCCTCTTCAGGGTGGCCATATTTGACCACTGCTACAGCCATTTTTGGAGGGGAGTGGTGCCTAGCCAAGGAGGGGAGATGCGGCTCCCTTGACCCAACTAATGGTTTCCCCCTTCTTCACCACCCCTACAGGGTGGTTCTGGCCCCAAAAGCAGATGCGCAGGATCCTCCGACGGGAGAGCACAGATCAAAGCCACGGACTATCACGGTCTCCAGTCCGTCAGCAAGGAAGATGCCACCAGAAGGGTTATGAAGGTTTGATGTCCAGGTCCATCAAAGTAGCATTTGTTGGGTGGTATTTCCATATGTACTACAAGCAAGGACGATGTTTGCAAGGATAATCTTTCATAATCCTTTCCCTTTCACATCCCAATTAAGTCCAGTCACTTTCCTTCTCAGGGAGAGAATTACAGGGTTGGATGACTGAGTGAAATTATTTAGTACACAAAAGGGTGTAATCTGAGTCAAAATTCATTGTCACAAATCGTTTTAGTTTTCTATCCTAGCCATGGAAATGTGTACTGTGGTAAAGAAAGATGAGAGGAATTCTATTCATTTAAGCAGTTGCTATTAAATATGCAAAAATAAATCATTTGAATAGTATTTTATTTTGCAGTGATATGGTTCTGGGGCTTATAAGCAAACAATATGGTTATATTTACTCTCTTTATTAAATGGTAGTTATTAAGTTCTGATATTGATGAGGTATTTAATGGGGACTTTTGATTAACCAACTGTCATGTTGCACCGAATTTGAATAAAGCAGTATTTCTGAACCTCAGCAACTTTAAGATGGTGGACTTCATGGCTGGCTGGGAGTTAAAGTCCACACATCTTAAAATTGCTAAGTTTGGAAGACACCAGTTTAAACTAACACATACATATCTTCTATAATTGATATAGGGAATTATAGAGAGGGCAAGAAGCAGGAAGTAGATAAACTGATTTAAAATAGCTTCTTGTTGGCTATAAATGTTATGTGTAGACTTGAGAATTGCTTGTTTGCTGATACAAAATATTGCTTGCCTTGTCAACAGCAAATCCAGTGTTCCTAGGATAAAAATATTGTTGGCACTACAGTGTCACAGTCCAACTAACGTTTTCTTTGGTGTGAGATGTGTTATACAATGCTATCAAAGATGATATTTGCCAAAATGATTTGAGATTAGGAAAAAGATCCATTGTAACCATTAAGTGCTTATCTATTGCCCAAGATGTGTTTGCCTAGTTGGGCAATGTTAGATGAGCCAAGTCATTTTGTACATTTCTAAGGATCTTAGGAAAGAAAATACTTCATGGTTACTTAGGTAAAATTTGTACATTGACCTATGAACAAAAACTGCTCAGTGTGGAGGCTGAACAAATTAGGATCTGACTAATAGTTTTCATGAATTCTTGTAACTACTTGTAAACCATGATTGCAGAAGAATTTTGTCTCTAAAACTAATACTATGCAAGACATCCAGTTCAAGATGAATTAGTAATAATCTTAAGCACTTGATTTTAGAATTTTGCATTCATTAATTTGAATTCATTAATTGAAGCAGCTACATGCTACATATGCTTGCCATTAACAACAGGTTAACAGTTGATGTCTACACAAAACTTTTATGTTGCTGAAAACATCTTTATTCTTCAGCTATACTGTTTGTACATTCCTGTTTGGTTATGTTTCCTGAGAAAGTTAAAAAAAACATTTCCCTGAAAGAAATTTCTGGAAGCTTGCTGAAGGTGTCAAGTTGCATCATATTTAGCTGTTAAATCGTCTTTCTGTAATGATTGCTACTAAATATAAACCAGCAATTAACTGAATTCTTCGCTAATTGTAGAGGCACAAAGTATTCTGTGCCAGGCAGATTTTTGCTTTTTTTTTTTTTTGCTGGCCGAAGTTAGATTTGATGTGGCTCAACAGTGCTTCCTTAATAATTCTTCAACTGTTAAATTGCAATATCTGAGTAAATGTGAGGGGGAGGAATAGTAAAAAAAAAGTTTTAAGTAATGTAAAAAGTACCAGAGATTAAAATTCCATCAAAATGCAAACTAGAAAAGAATCAGCTAGAAATCCCATCCATTTGTTGCAATTCAAACATATTTTAAAGTATTTTTTAGACTAGCATTTTTAGTTAAGGATTTTGTATCGTGTCTGTTAGTATATAGTGCGTGAAATTGCTGGATGAGGAGCCTGGAGATCTTGAATCGTAGTCTTGTCAATGATCTTGGTTCAATTCTCTCAGCCTTAGGAAGAATGCAGTATCAAATTACTTCTGAAAATCAAAACTGTGGGGATTTAATCCTTTAACTGCCAGAAACCAGGCTGCCTCAATAGACCATAACAACTCTTTGTATCCAGCCTCATTTTAATGCTATAATGGTAGTTATATTAAGCTATTCATGATAGTTTCTAGCATTTTACCTGAAGTTTCTTTATATCTTACTGCTATTGTCAAAGTTGCTCTGTTGAAAGAGCAGGACATTTAAAAAGTAATATATTAAACTATTGCATGATTTCCTAAAATCGTGAGGATAAAGCAGTTTCTTTTGAAAAGCTTGAGCTCCCTCTAATGGCATAGTTTTTGAATCGCATGAGGTGAACATATTTAAGATTTTTTATTTGGTGTTCACCAGAAATATTAAGTTACAAACTCAGAATTTCCACTCAGGGTCATCTTTTTCTACAAATTATGGGTGTTTCTGTGCAGGATTTCTGCAAGGTTCTAGTCAAAGGAATCTCTTGCATAAATAACCCTCTAAGCATCCTTAGAAACAAACAGGATTATTTTTTTAAAAAAGGATTTGGAATTATAAATTACAGATCATTTGGTATGTGAACCAGAGCTGTTTGGTAGGATTAGGATTCAATGTATTGTACAAACTCCGCAAATGGGTTAATTAAGTAACCAGATTAAATGTTTAATACGTTTAATACAGTCAATGACTGCAGGAACACCTTTCGATTTCACTTAAATCCAAGAATTTCTCTGCAAGAAAGCAAATTCTTTTTCAACAAACCGAATGAGTGTCAACAGAAAGTGCAGAATTGGTGTGAAAAAGCACAGCTTGGAATAAAGGTATTGCTGACTTTTATGAACCATCCCAAAGCTTCATCTTGTTCCATTCGGTAAGGGCCAGAACCTGAAGTTAGTCTACTCTTCAGAAACCGCACACACAAGGCACTAATTGTAGAAAGTTCTTTATTCTGAAGTTATTCCTAAAAGGATGTTCATTCTTCAGGGATTCCATACTTTCAAAGGCAGATTAAAAAAAAAAAGGTTGGTAGCGAGATCTCCCTTATCATTACAAAGCCAATGCAAAGAAGAAAAATCTTAGAACAAAAAGTGCCACAAAGTTTGGTCTTTCGTCTCAAATTCTCCTGAGACTACCTTTTGTTTACATTTCACGAAACAGAGTCACAAAAATGTATTCTTCTTTGTTCCTATCTAGATTTTGCTTTTTTAGTTTTATGTCCAAATAGTTTCAGGGAGTAAATCCGCCTGAAAGAAAGGAATATAATTAATTCTAAATAAACATAGGGCTGAACCATTTCAGAAATGCAGAGCTAGAAGGTTAAGGCAACATCTGTTTTCCAACCCACACCCTTCATATCTCTAATAATTCCCTCCACCAAGAAGTTACATAGGAGGTACAATCTCTCTGTGGATCTCCTTCCACAGGCTGCTGCAAGGATGTTGTCATTCCTCACAACATTTTAGAAATATTGTGGTTTGTAGAGCTCTTCATCATCTCTGATAATTTTAATATTATTTGATTTTGAAAAAGTACTTGGTCCAGTTGTTATTTTGTAGTGATTTTACTGTACTGTAATGTGGTTTGTCTTAATTCAAGCCCTTACTGGATTTCAACCAAAAAAAAACCCCCTCTGCTGATAAATACTTTCAAAAAATAATGATAAATAAATAATAGTGCAGTTTTCCTGCAGCTGCTATCTTTCTATGTGCTGGATTACATTCCTCCATCAAGAGGCTACGTTGGAGGTACAAAACAAAATTATTTTCTCATAAGAGCCATCACTCTGGATCTCCATCCAGTGGAGGCTGTGTGGATATTGTCATTCCTCATGACATCTTAGAAATACTGTAGGTTTTAGAGCCTTTCATCAACTCTGATAATTTGATTGTGAAACAACAGCTTGGTCCAGCTGTTATTTTGTAGTGATTTTACTGTACTGCAATATAGTTGTTTTAATTCAAGGCCTTACTTACATGATTAAAAAAAACCTGATACTTTCAAAAAATAAAATAAATAATGGTCCAGCTTGTCTACATCTGCTATCTTTCTACATGCTGGATTACAACTCACATCACCCCAAAAGCATGACTGTGGTGGCTAAGGATAAAACAAAATGCAATTCTAGACATCTGCAGAGTCCCAGGTGGGGGAACGCTATAGCAATCTAGTAAAAGTAGATGTCTATTCTTTTTTCTCTAAAGCAGAGTTTCTCAACCTTGGTAAATTTCAGATGTGTGGATTTCAATTCCCAGAATTTTCCACCCAACATGCCAACATTCTGGGAGTTGAAATCCACATACCTGAAATTTGCCATGGTTGAGAATCACTGCTCTGAAGGCCCAAATGCTGTCTTATTTATTTTTAAAAAATAAGTAATTTGGCCCCCAGGGAAGGAAGGAAATTTCACCCAAGATATCCCAAGAAAAGAGGAGAGGAAAAACAGAAGTGCCGTGGAGAGTGAAAGTTATCTCAGAGAAAGTATCTTTGGATACTGCCATATTGTTTTGCAAAATCTAGATTGATCAGCTGATTTCTTTTCCTTGATAGGATTGATAGAAATGAATTGCCACTGAAGTAATAGATTGTTGGATTTTGTTCCAAATCAGACTCTTGCGCATAAGAGGTTTCTATTATTATATTATTATTTTTTAAAGTGGGAAAGATCAGCTTTCCCCACTGCCACAGCATATGAGTGGGAAAAGTATTACTGATTTATTTCTACATATGAATAATGCAAAAACAAAGAATGCCCTGCCCTGCAAGGAACAACTTGGCCCTACAGAGTCCTCTAATCACAACAATCCTGATTTGACCACATTTGTGCCACAGAAAGAAAAAGTGAAGAAAGTGAGAAAACAGATTCTATCTAACACCCCACCACAACCATGGGAACAAACACTGCTCTGCCTGCTAAGAATAGCAAAGGGGTTACACATCCTGGTTATCAAATGTTTCTTTCCTGCCACAAAAGCTCTGCAGGGGCCAAATCTAAAATTAGGACCACGGGGCTAACCTGGCCACCAAATTACCAGATCTGTTTCTGGGGGAAGCCCTGTTTTTCAGCCCAACTACAAAGCAACATATAGCCAGAGAAGAATGTGGGCATTTTGTCCCAGAATCCTTTGCAGCGTTTACCCAATTCATAGGCCCTGTGCTAGTATTGTCTGTCAGGCTGTATGGAACCCTGAAACGTGTGCCTCTTGGACCCTGCCTGTGATACAAACCCTGGTGAAATAATACAACCACTGGAATCTCTTCCAGATGTGGTGATCAAATTGTCCCACTCACTCATCACACGTTCCTTGTGAAATTACTTCCCTACCAACCCATGTCAAATTGTGATGTGGATAGGATTCTGGAGAGGATCGGTAAGGCTTTCTGCATTAGGAGGGTTTATCATGTCCCGACCTCCACTGGCCTCTCTCAAGTGGATCCGCTGATGGTACATCATACTGTGTCTCCGCCTAAACCTCACTCCGCACTCACCACACTGATAGGGTCTCTCACCGGTGTGAATTCTTAGATGCCGAGTGAGATGCGACTGTCGTCCAAACCGCTTTCCGCATTCTGTACAAGGATAGGGTCTCTCGCCAGTGTGAGTGATCTGATGCCGAGTCAGATGAGATTGCCGACTGAAGGTTTTCCCGCACTCAGTGCAAGGATAGACCTTGGTTGCCAGGTGGGTCTTCTGGTGTCTCGTGAGACCGTAGAGATCATGGAATATTTCCCCACACTCCAAGCACTGGTAAGCTTGCTTCTCAGTGTGGGTTCGCTGGTGAGCGGCCAGCTCTGAAGGCCATATGAACCCCTTCCCACACTCAGTGCAGAAGTAGCGCTTCTCTCCTGTGTGAATACGTTGGTGTGTGGCGAGTTCGGACGGCCATCGGAACGCCTTGCCACATTCTCCACAAAGATGGCGTTTCTCCGTCATGCCAGCTCCCAGGTGAGGGGGATGAGGTGGTTGGCTATTGCTGTTCTCACAATCAGCAATGGGAGACAAACTGTTGCCTGCATGGCTCCTCTGATGGGCCATCAGCTCCGAGGGCCACTGGAATCCTTTCCCGCACTCAGGGCAGAGGTAGTGTTTGTTCTTGTTGTGAGTTTTCTGATGAGTGGCGAGTTCAGAGGGCCACCGGAACCCTTTTCCGCATTCGGGACAAAGATGAGGTTTCTTGACAGTATGAGTTTTTATCATATCACCATTGGGAGGTGCTTTCTCACCTGTCAAAATATTCTCGGTTGTATTAAACTCAGAGGGCCAATGAAGCAAAGTGTCAGCATCCATGGTGTAGTGTGGCTGTTCCGTGTCATGGATCCTCTGGTGGATGGTTAGCTCTGTTGACCAGCGGAATCGCTTGCCACATTCGGTGCAGACATGACATTCCTCACCCATGTGGGTTTTCTGATGCCTGGTAAGGTGTGAGGATCGACCAAATTGTTTTCCACACTCAGTGCAGTTATAGGATTTGGGCCGGGTGTGGACTTTTTGATGAAGGGCCAATTCTGACTGGCAGCGGAATCGCTTTCCGCATTCAATGCAAGGGTGGCGTTTCTCTCTTATCCGTATCCTCTTCGGAGCCATTTGCGGCACTGCTCCGTTGGATTTTTCTCCAAATCCCATCTGAGGATCTGCTCTGTTGGGAGTCTGGCCACCTGCTTTGATGTGGGAATAAGAGAGAATTCAAACAATTTATAGACACCATCTAGCTTTGCTGACTCAATAAACCATGATCAGCCAACTTATATTCATATATATAATATATATATATTTTACAAAACTGAATGGATTAATTACACCCCGGGGGAAATAATATTAGCCAAGTTACTAGTTCAGTTTAGGTTAATTGACTGAATTAATTATGCTTACACAAGAGAAACTTAAGAAAGTAGTTTTCAGACATCACACATATACACACTCATATTCCAATAAGTACTTCCATGTAAGGGCCTTTCCATTTTATCTTACATAGCAGATAATGTCCCTCCTCCTAAAGGGGTGTCTCCTCTGCAGATTTTCTTAGCTAGCCCTTCTCAACCTAACATTATCCAGATTATTTGGGACTTCAACTTCCATAAGAGAGGATTTACTGCAGCACCTGGCAAATCTGCTCTAGCTGTGAAAGCTAAAGAGGGGTGAAGCTTAGTTGGTATTTTAGATGGGAACCAGAAGTGGTATTCAGCAGGTTCTCGCCAGTTCTGGAGAACCAGTAGTGGAATTTTTGAGTAGTTCAGAGAACTGGCAAATTCCACCTCTGACTGGAGATTTTACAGTATCCTTCCCCTGCCACACCCATTAGGCCACGCCCACAAAACCAGTAGTAAAAAAATCCCACCGCTGATGGGAACTGTAAACTAGATTAAGCAATCAAAAGCCATCACAGAAGAAGGCAATGGTGGGCCATTTATCCATGAAATTGCCAGGAGTCAAACTCTGCTTGAAGACTTCACTTTCTTTCTTTTGGGCCATATTGTCAGAAACTCTAGTTCAAAGGTGTCAAACTACATTGTCACAGCGTCCCCTGATGTATCAGGACTTTTTTCCCCTCTGCCAAACTGGATATGGGCGCATCTGGTCCATAGACCGGGAGTTTGACAGCCCTGCTCTAGTTGTATTCCCAACATATTTGGGATTACAGAGAGCTCTGGTGGTGCGGTGGTTAAAGTACACTACTGCGGGCAAATTCTGCCTACAGTCTGGAGTTCGATCCTGATGGGGCTCAAGGTTGATTTAGCCTTCCATCCTTCCAAGGTCGGTAAAATGAGGACCCAGATAGCTGGGGGCAATGTGCAAATAATGCTGATATTGTAAATCACCCAGATAATGCTGTAAAGCACTATGGGGTGGTATATAATCTAAATGTTTTTGCTATTGCTATATTCAGGTATCCATTTGAATTAATCACTGTGATAACATACCTTACATATAATAATAACATGCAAACAGAAAGATACAATCCAAAGTTTTATCCAAAGCAAAGGCAGTAGCATCTACAGCAAATGTGACCGATGCCCAAACATGCAACCCCTGATATCATCACACAAATGACACAAGTACATATTTGCGTTAAGGCATCTGATACAAATTCATAAGTCAGGACATTTGTGCAATGACATTTATCTCACACAAAGTATTAGTTTACCTCCTTGCAGATGCTACGAGCAAAGAACTGGTGACTTTTTAGTTGTGGTTGAGATTTTAACTCCCATCTCCCCAGGTCAAAGGTCAGGGATGGTAAGAATTGTATAGGTAGTCCTCGATTTACAACAATTAAGCCCCAAATTTCTTTTGTTAAGTGAGATATTTATTTTCTGACAAACCCCCCCCCTCCATTTTATAATATTCCTTGCCACTGTTAAGTGAATCACTGCAGTTGTTAAGTTAGTTACCCGGTTGTTAAACAAATCTTGCTTCCCCATTGACTTTGCTTGTCAGATCCCCAAAAGGGATCATATGACCCCGGGAACACTGCAGCCATCATAAATATATACTAGTTGCCAAATATCTGAATTTTGATCATGTGACCATGAGGATGCTGCAAAGGTCATAACTGTGAGAAATGGTCGTAAGTCACTTTTTTCACTGCCGTTGTAACATTGAACAGTTACTACATGAACTGTTGTAACTCAAGGACTACCTGTAATTGGTAATCAAAAAGACAAGCAGTTCCACGAAATGATTTAGATTTTCAGTCTGAATGGTTTTTATTAAAAAGTGCTCTGTTCCTTATAAAGACAACCAAATTTTGCTAGCTTCAGACACTATAATTTTCCTCTGTCTCATGCACTTACTCCAGAATAAGACATCACTGAATTTAAAAAAAAAACCTTGCTGCTTTCTTAGTCTGCATTAACTAATAATCCATATTAGTGACGATTAGCATTCATTATTAAGTTTGACGAAAACAACATAAGTCTTTTAATTGGCGAAGTAGCTGCTTTGTAACATTTAAGGCATTTTTCCGGAAGTACAAGCCTGTGTTGCAATTCAATCAGACAGCATAAATAGTACAGCTGGTGTCAGCCCTGAATACATCTTTTAAGCTGGAGACATTTTAGGAGCATCTTCAGGACTGCCACAGCCAGGGCGGTCTGAGCTGTGGGTAAGCGAGGGGGGAGATAGAGATAGCAATAGCTGGGGATGTGTAGTCAAAACAACATTATTTTCCGTGGGAGCCAAGGACGTTCGACCAGGTGTTGGGAGAGGCATGGACCAAAGCCAGCCAGATGGTGCCTGCGACCTAGTTGGACCCTGGGATGGATGTGTGACTTGAGGGGAAGAATTTTGGGGTTTGATTTGGGTGGGGGAAACCTCGGATCCTCGAGTCGGGTTTTCCCCAGATGTGCCAATAGGACATGCCTAATAAATCTATATTTTCAGGAATATGCCTGCCTTGGAGTTTTGATTCTGTTGGGTGTGTTAACTGGAACTCCGATATCTGGTTTCTATCTCTTTCAATTATGTTTATATTACTATGACAATGGTTATTGTTTTTGTTATTATATAAAGCATATATTCCTAGCTCCTATCAGTATGATGGTTAAGCAATGCTGGAAAATTTTTAGAAGCTAGACATAAGATGGCTGGAATAGATTTCCAACAGTTGGAACTGCAGCTAGCCCTTGACCATAACTGAGCCCAAAAATTTATGTTGCCAAGTGAGGCGTTTGTTAAATGAATGTTGTCCCATTTAATGACCTTTCTTGCCACAGTTGTTAAGTAAATCACTGCAACTGCTAAATTAGTGACCCAATTGTTAAGTGAATCTAGCTTTTCCATTGACTTTGCTTGACAGAGATTTGCAAAAAGTGATCACATGACCCTGGCACCCTGCAATCGTCCTAGATACGAGTCAGTTGCCAAGCATCTGAATTTGGATCACATGACCATGGGGATGCTACAATGATTGTAAGTGTATAAAAGGACATGTCACTTTTTTTCAGTGCTGTTGTAACTTTGAACAGTCATCAAATGAACTATTGCAGGGGTGTCAAACTCGATTTCATTGAGGGCTGCATTAGGGTTGTGTTTGACCTGGGGAGGGGCTGGGAGTGTTTGGACAGGGTAGGCATGGCCAGCTCAACATCACTCTGGTGGCCTGAATGCTCTGCCAGTGAAAACTGAGCTCTGGAGGACCACCCGCCGCCCTCGCAAGCTCCATTTTTGGCTGTGATGGCCTCTTGCAAGCCTCTGCCAGCGAAAATACCTGCTGCCCTCAGAAGTTCCATTTTTGCTGGCAGAGGCACCATGGACCGGTCCTTCGCTGTTTCCAGGGCGCCCCTGCGGGCCAGATCTAAGCACTCTGCGGGCCAGATCCGGCCCCCGGGCCTTAGGTGTGACATCTCTGAACTATTGTAATCGAGGACTACCTGTAAAACCTGTACTACCTAGCTGAAATTCTGTCAGCTGCTCCCCCACAAGACTATCATCTTAAATGGAAGAATTATAAGCTTCTTCTTTTCACCATTATCATACCGAACAAGCCCATGCTAATGCATTAAAAAGAAAGGATACTCTATTTGTCTGGTACACAATAATCAAAATAAGATTATTCAGATGCAGAAGACAATCTGAATTCATCTGCTTCATCAGTAAGTACCAAATGAGCTTGAGGGCGATTAAGGACAGCAGCCTTCAGACAATTGGCAAAAACCAATGTCTTTTTACTAATGATAGTGTTTTGGAGTTCAAAAAACCATAAAGACTTTTCACTGTTATAGTCAGGGTGGTCAGCCTTTCGATAGCTGAAGCCAGCCCTCAGACTGGGGTTGGAGGAGGGAGATAAGATCACAGCGATTCAAAATCATGCTGCTGCAGAAGGAAAGGTTTTGACTCACCTGAACCTCCTCCTCTTTCTCTTCCATCATCTGCAGAAGAATCCCAGGTGGCTTCTGAGTCAGAAGAACCTATGCAAGAAAGGAAAAATGTGAAACCTAAAGCTTACCTGAAAACATGCCTCGGGATGTGTAAAGAATACTCACCATCGCAAGACGTTTTTTAGATCTTTTGGAAGGAAAGCTAACAAATCAAATCTTTATTACGGTGAAAGACCAGCATAATGGAAAGCTGATAGGTTTCTGCCTGATAGCACTTGTTACTAATTGCCTGTATTTTTCAAAGACCCTGATAACGTTGTGGAGTCCAATGCCAAGGCAGCAAAGGAATGGATTGCATTATCCAGGGAAAATGAAGACATTATTCCAAATTCCCTTCACTGGAATTCCATGGGGGAAAAAAAGATTTCTTATGTTGTTTAATCATAGCCCAAAAAGAAAAAGAAAATTGTAGGGATATAACTTGGTTGCTATGTGCAAACTTCTGGCTTCACAAATCACCTCTGCATGTTCCTGTTCTTGTTTTGATATGCATTTACCAGAGTTTAATCCACAACCATGATCAGCTTTCAATTCTGCTTTAATAAATCTATTGTTTATACAAAACAGTTTATTATACTTGAGAAGGATGTCTGTGGATATTCTCAGCCATCCAGGTCATAGTTGTCTCAAATGTACTTTTTAAAAAGGCAACTAGATTATGTTTTTTCCTTTGAGGAAAAAGACATTTCGCTTCTTATCCCAGAAGCCTCATCAGTTTTGGTTGGACTGAAGGGGTGGGGAATGGAAGGATTAGTTTTGACAGGATGTTGGGCAAAGGTGGGTGGGGATGGGCGCAGGAGGATTATTTATTTGCAGTCATCTTGTCATTAGCTCTCTCTCTCTCTCTGAGAACCGTTGAGGCCATTTGGGAGTCTATCTGTGCCCTTATAATCAGAATGTAAATGGGGTGGAATCTTCTTGGAACCGCCGAAAGGACTGATTGTAGACAAGAGATAGATGGTCATGTTCCTCCCCCTCTGTTGAAGAACAGCTGTTCAACTTTTTTCCCCAATGATCACTCTCTATCCAGAATGTGGACTTCCAAATTAGAGTCTATCTATGTTAGAATTGAACAGTGCTCCCTCAAGAAGAGGGAGAGGGATATGGCACCATCTATCTCCTGCCTACAGCACAGTTCTTTTGGCAGTTCCAAGAAGATTCCACACCTGTTTGCAGTCTGATTCAAGTGACCTTGAGAGCACAGATAATCCCACAAGTGGCCTCAATGGCTCTCAGACAGAGCGCTAACCACCAGATGATTGGAAAGAAATATAATCCTTACATTCCTCCGGAACATCCTGTCAGAATACTTCTCCCAGTTCTCTCCCCACCCCTCCCCGGCAACCAATCATCCAGCCAGAATTGATGAAGTTTTTTGGATGAGAAGCGAAACATCTTCCTCAAAGGAAAAAAACACAGTCCAGTTGCCTTTTGAAAATGCACCTTTGAGATTTGAGGATATCACAGCAGACCAAATTTAAGAAGAATATAAGAAGAAAAAGAACAGAATTTAAGGTTCATTGCTTTGGCAGGTCTTCAAAACAATGGCTATGAATGATGGCATCTGGAGGACACTGGATTGGAGAAGCTAAATTGAGTTATTTTTAAAAGTATACTTAGTCCTTCATTAGGATTTATATTACTCTATACATTTAGTTCCTAGATGTTTACCATGTTATATAATCCTTGTACGGTGGGAATGCATATATCAATAATAATTTTAAAAATGCATTTAGAGAAATAGAAGCAATTCAAAGCGCTAAGTAGGTGGATTGATAGTTCCTTACCAAGCAAACATATATCTACATCATCCCGTTGTCCAGTTTCCATGCATATATCTCCATGCTCAGTATTTGAAAGGACTTGGTCTCCATTAGGAAATGCCACCACTACTTCCTCAAATAAGTAAAAATCCTGAAGATTCATCAAAGAGGCACAATTAACAAAGAAGTCAAATACTAAACTAATTAGTATTTGTTTAATACTAACCTAAGCAGATTTAGAAAAATAAACATTTCCTCTCTGAAAAAGAAAATAAAAGGGGATAAAAATGTTGGCCGCAGCTCTCCCATAGGGATCTATTCCCCATACAGACCTGGCTGTTTGGCAGGGGTGGAGGGAATATTTACATCTTATTTTAAAACTATATATTCCTAGGTAGGTTTAAGTAGAAAGTAGTTGGGCATCTGTAAATGATGCTATAGTACAGGGGTGTCAAACTCAAAGCCTGTGGGCCGCATTTAGCCCATGGGGTACTTAGATCTGGCCCATGGGAAACAGCAAAGGACTGGCAGAGGCTTGCAGGAGGCCATCACATCTGTAAACGGAGATTGGGAGCCCATTTTCACTGGTAGAGCACTCAGGTCACTGTAGGCGCCCCCAACATGAGTGATGTCAAACTGGCCATGCCCTTCCCACCCCAAGGTCAAACACAACCCTGATGTGGCCCTAAATGAAATAGAGTTTGACACCCCTGCTGTACTAGAATCCTGAACTGAACAAGAGTTGGATTAAATGTTCTCCAAGTTGCCTACCAACTTACCTTCTATGAAACTAGGGAGAATTTTTTAAAATAACCCACCTTACAAGGTTGTTATTCTAAGAAAAAGAAGCATTACTGTATGCATTCCAGCTTGTACAAAGTAAGTGAGGGATATCATCATAATCATAATATAGATTCTTCCCATCTCATAGTATTCTGCTATTGTTGCTATTCAGAATGTGGACTGCTTTATTTGCATTTTAGTATCATTTACTGATGGCAAGCAAAACACGCCACAAGTTTTAATTCAATTGATTATTCAATGCAGTCTTGGCAAATGAAATCTTGGACAGTTGGATAACCAAAAGCATACATGGTTTTTCTTCTGCTTTCCTGTTGTATTAATTTTTGATTTTAATATTTTCTCTAAACTTCTAAACCAGGTGCGTCAAACTCATGGTGTAGCATTGTTACATGATGTATCGCAACTTTTTCTCCCTTCGTTAAACCGGGGGTGGAGGTGGCCAGCGTGTGATGCATCCAGCCTGCAGACTGCGTGTTTGACACCCCTGCTCTAAACCCTTTCACTAAACCTGGAGCCAATAAGAGCCAATAAGAGCCAACAACAAAAATACCCCACGAATCAGTTTCCATTTGGACTCTTCCACTTCCCTTTCAAACAGGAAAATCAAAATTAAAACCTCTCTGGAAAAAAACCAATACCTAACTCAATACCTAAGAGCACTTTGAGTCTGTTCCCTCCAACACAGAATCTGCAATGCTCCTATTAAATGAAATGAAATAGTAGAAATCTCAGAAGAACACTACAGTCTTCTGAAACTTTTAGCTTTTGACCATAAATTCAATAAATATTTTTGAGACATAATTTGAGGGTCAATTTGGTTCAGTTGCAGATTTTTAATGACTTTTGGGTAACTCTTTCTATTCTTTTAAGGCAAAGATGCACAATAATAATCTGAAGGCTGGGGTATGCTAAATTTGTCCTTTCATAGGCATTTTAGAAGCTGAGGCCAAAGCAAAAATTAAATTTCAATCAGTGGAATCAAATTTCAAAATTATCAATTAAATATAGTTGTGGCTTCCACAAATAATGACTGACATTCTAGAAATGCTACAAGAATTAAGAAAAACTTTATAACCGCATGGGTTTCAGAATTCGGGAAAGATGATATATTAGAGCTACCTGGCAGGGGATGATGGGGAATGCAATCAGACTTAGGAGGCCAAGTTTGCTGTACAGTATGGAAACTACATTAATCACTTTCTCAAGTGCTTCTGGTTTCCATAAAGAAGTTCCAATAAAAAAATCATAAATTGTGACTTTCTGCTCCAGTGTCACAATTTATATCAATGCCTACTTTCTGATTACAGTTTACATTTCTGCAGAAAGGAGCTTTTAGAAGAAACCTAATTTAACTTCTTAGCAGAAACCCTTTGCTTCCAGGCTGCAGACTACAGCTCCCAGGATCCTTTGTGCAGCGTTCTGGAAATCTACTGAAGGCAGATGATGCAAACCTCTTTGTGGAAAACCATCATGACAAAGGAAATAAAGAGACAGGAGGGAGGATGTTGAAATGTTTTAATTTAAAGATCTGTAAAGCCTATGAGATTTCAGTGGGCAGTTCAGAGATTTGAGGAGCTGAGAAAGAAATGAAAAAATGAATCAAGAGTTTGGTTCTTAAAAATTATAAGCATGATGATGGTTTAGAGCCAGAATACCCCTGATATTTGAGGCAATTTCTAAAAAAAAATAATCTTGGGGATGAAAAAAAAAAATGCATAATTTTTCCTGCTGAGAGAGGGGAGAATTTTGCCCACACTCACTCCTGCTGAGGTGCCTCAGCTTTGGCATCCGAACTATTTATAATCGCTCAGATGTTAAAGAAGAAGCCTGATTGCCTCTGAAAACTACAGCTTCTGCTCCTTTCTTTCCTCTCTTTAAAGGGACATCCAAGAAAGTGAGGTATATCTGATGTGACCCTTTCCTGCACTCTCTTCCTTGGGAGGGAGAAAGGAATTCAGAGCTGCTTGATGTCCTGGCATGCCAACCCTTTCAATCTATTACCAAAGTGGCAGAAAACATGTCAAATAATCGTACCCTTTTCCTAGGAAGTCAGGCCTTTTTAGAACAATAACCGTTGGCTTCTGGGGGGGAAAGTTAACAATTCTAAGTTTGATGTATATTGAAAATCAAACTCTGAAAATTTGGAATTTCTTGAATTGATCAAGCTTGAATGTAAGTAAAAAGATACATTTTACACTGCTGGAAGGAAATTATCACTACATAGTATATTTGCAATCTGGTCTAGTCTATATAGAGAAGGATTACGCAACCAGCTGCCTGCTGGATCTTATGGACTACAATTCCCACAATTTTTGCCCCAGGCCATGCCAAAACTTCTGAAAATGTCCTTGTCTTCACAAATACAGTAGGAGACTTTTGAAGGTTCATTACTTTTGATAAAAGTTTTGCATCCAAATTCTCTAATTAAAAGGATCAAACAACAGGTAATGAGAGAATCCTCTGACAGTAACTTCAGAGAGTTATTGCAACATAAAATAGCTGAAAATTTTCAGCAGACAAAACACACACGCATCTAGAGGACTCAGTTCTCTAGATACGTGCGTGTTCTGTCTACCGTTATGCCAAGGAATATTATGGTTTGTTGCACAGTACCCAAATGCTTAGACTGGATTTAGCATTTTTATGCATCAATCTCATTCTTCTCAAGGACTAGGACATTATTTACTGTATATCTCACCTTATTTTTAAAAATAAGATAGTGAACATACCTAACTTCTCCCACAGTATTTTCCCCACAATAATCAGAGACTTGTCTAAAGTCACCTAGTCCATTTTCATTCCAAGGAAGGACTAAAACTCACGGTCTCCTGGTTTCTAGCTCTGCATCCAGTTATACTGCTATTTCAATCCCCAAACATTTCAAGATCAAAACTTAGCTTCCAATTTTGCTGCAGTGGAGGTAGATGCACCCATGAGTCATTTTAAATCCAGGCTCGCAATTAATACACATTTGTAAGTTAGGACAAAGTTCTAAAGAGCTAAATAGTTCCAGAAATGTCATTTTAATCTCAGTATGAATCAGGTGCTTCAACCAAGAGGATGTTTCTTCAGATAGGAACTTCTGATCAGTCTCATCTCCCTGTTTAAGATTGTCCATAACAAACTTTCTAAAAGGTCAGGCAGAAACCAGTGGACCTCCACAGACTGTCACTTTCAACACACCCGTCAGTCTGGCTGATAAAAAGACACAGTGAATTGTAATTCAGAAGCACTGGGGTCTGGTCAGATTTCACACTGCTGGAAACCACAGGTGGGGTTGAGGATCAACTCAAGACTATAAACACATTTTTATGACAATAGCAATCTGATAGTTGTCTCTGCCACTGGTTTGCATCCCTGTAGGAAATCAGGGAACAGCTTGCAAGCAATCAAAAACTCCAGCTCATTCAGCCATTGCCAGAATTCCCCCCACCCCACCCCCAATGCATATTTCCTCCCCATTTTTTGCACAGGGGCTTGACTGTCTGCTGTAAAAAAAAGCCCACCCCCATGACTTTCCAAGCTCATGGATTAAAAGTAGCAAGAAGTGAGGTGAGCATATGGAATCAGCAGGCCACAGTTGGCTAAGGACAGCTGGCAATGCCCATAGATTGCCGTGTGATAGGGCTGGTAAGGAGACAGTGGATTGTAGCATTTCATTTGCAGAGGAATGATCACACCTTTGGTGCTTCCCATAGTTCTGCAAGTAAAACAAGCCAAGGGAGAAGAAGAACGACCTCAAGTACTAGGTGTGGTTTGGTGTAGTTGTCTAAACTTGCTATAGGAGGAAATATTTTAAAGTGGCATTCACCCTGCTAATTTGGACCAGCCATAAATCTGCTGAGACCTCCTCTGTCTACCTACTGGAAATAGAATGGAATATATTTCTTCAATTTTATGGTGTTTTATTTTATTGTTCTGTGATGTTTTATTGAGATTGAAGATTGAGATTTGTATGCTTTGGAAGAAAGGTAGTATCATAAAGTCTTAAGAATAATAATTGCGTAATTACCATCAGTCAGGTGTGAACATTTGTTCCAAAAGGAAAACATTTTGACTCTCCACCCATTTCATTTACCTTCCATACTTGCTGCAGATATCCCATTTCAGGCACTTGCCTATCCCAAAGTTTCCCCCCAAATAATATAGCCCAACAATGAACCTTAAGAATATATGCAAGGAAAGGAAGGGAGACTGAGCCATCTTACCTCCTCTTCTGGTCTTTCTGCTTCATTTTGCTTGGCTAGGAACTCCTCCGCTAGGGCCACGGCCCGTGCACAAGTCTCCGGGCTACACTCCCATACCCGACTTCGGATTCCAGGAGGGAGAACGGCTAGGAACTGTTCTAAGATCAGAACATCAAGAATCTGTTCCTTAGTACGGTTCTTTGGCTTCAGCCAGTGATTGCAGAGCTCCCATAGCTGACCACATGCCTTTCGTGGACCCTCAGTGTCCTGGTAACAGAACTGCCGGAAGCGCCGGCGGGCAGTCTCCAGGCTGAAACTGCCTCCTCCAGATATAGGTGTCCGTGCTTTGCCAGTACTCCCTCTATCTGCACTAGCTGGGGAGCGTTGAAGGTCCTGGTGGCTCTCTTCAATGAAAGATGCTCCCCATGAAGATGAAGTATTCCCCAGTTGCTCCATAGTTGGGAAGGTGTCCAGTTCTACCTCTGCTGCAGCGACTTCCACTACCTGAGTGATATTGGAGGTGGCTGCTTCTGGTGATATTAATGGTGATTCTATAATTTCAGGAAGAAAAGGCTGTGAAGTTTGGGACACCTCCTCCCACTGGACCTCCCAGCGCTGAGGTTGTGCTGCCTCTAGCTGCACTGATTCAGCAGTTAGTGATGCCTCTAAGCCTAGCAGCTCTTCAACTGTTCCAGTACACACCACAAACAGGGAGTCATCTCCATTAACTGCTCCCATTGCCTCTTGCTGAGGATCTTGTGGATGTGCCTCCTCCTCCTCCTCCTCCTCATCCCCTTCTCCCTCCTCCTCCTCCTCCTCCTCCTCTTCATCCTCCTCCTCCTCTTCTTCCTCCTCCTCCTCTCCCCTCTCTTCCTCTTCTTCCTCTTCATCTGCCCCCCCTTCAGCATCTACTTCTACTTCGTCAGGCTCTTCCTCCTCCTCAATTGTGATCTCTGGATACATCTCCTGCTCAAGCAGCACCTTAAAATGGAGATCCACTTTCTGTGAACCCTGTATAGACTCCATTTTATTTTCTAAGAGATAGACAGATTTATCCCAATTGTAGACTGAGGTTTGGCCAGTGATACCCCACGTCTCACAGGCAAACATGGTGGGAAGAATCTTCTTCCTCCTCAAATTTTGACCACAAGCTTAGGCCAAGGTTTGTCAACAATTTCCAGGAGGCAGAGAGACTGTTGTCAAGGAAACTGCTCTGTCGCAGGATTCCGCCATATATCAAGTGGATTTGGCTTTTCCAAATGTGTTTACATGAGTACTTTCTCCCTAAAAAGACAAAAAAAAGCAATCACCTGAGCAGTCAACAAAATGAGATTAACCAAATTTATATTTACATAATCCATTCCATATAAAAAAGAAAGCTATTTCTGAGGAAAAGGGGCTTTTTTGTATGGCTTGCTTTGGTTTAGTTTAAGATGATGGATGTGTTTCCCCTGGCAGAAACCATTTTAAGAAAAAAATTACCCTGAGGTGTAAAAAAAACGACAAAAAAGACTTCACTTTTAAGAGCAGGACAGTTACCCCTGGGTTTCACATATTGCAATTATAATTCAAACATACTTCAATCATTTAAACCTGCTTTCATTCACAGGGGCAGTTGTCATCAGTCAGAAAGCTTCTATCGGCCTAAAAAAAACACAGGGCAAATTAAAGACTGGAAAAGTTTAAGATGAGTTAATGTCAAAGAAAAACCTTCCTCATAACAGTTAACTCCTTCACAAAGATAATGGGGAAAGGAATAATGCTAAGTGATTATTCTTCGCCCAATCTATTTTTGGAAAGGGTGAGGATAAAGAGCAGGGGATGATGGTTTCATCCATGCAGCTCTCTCCCTGAATCTACACATTCAGAATAATAACTCTTCACAGATTCTACCACTTTAGAATCTGGAGGTAGGGTTAAGGTTCTGGTCTAAAAATCAGGAGATGATGAGTTCTAATCCCACCTTAGGTTTGAAAGTCAACTCAGTAACTTTGGGCGAGACACTCTTTCTCAGTTCAATTCACCTCACAGGGTTGTTTGTTCTAGGGAAAATAGGAGGAGGAAGGAATGTTAGGTATGTTTGCCATCTTGAATTATTTATAAAGTAATAAAGTTGGGATAAAAAGCTAATAAATAGATCACATCACAGTAAGGTTCTCTTCACTCATCTTTCACCATGCTGAAAGCCAAACTTAGAACTAAACTTTCTCCAATATGACAATATTTCTCAATTAAATGTTCTCATTGCAGAAATCACCCTAAGCTCATATAATATTGCTCCATCTCCCCAGAAAATAGCAAACCTGTTCCACAATAGTTACCTTCTTTTATTGCAGTTTAAGTCTGTTGTTTGCACATCACCACACACAGATGGTGATAAAATGAATAATTTATCAAATCTATACAATAAAATAAAATGCACAGAACCAGGATAATCTTAAACAATTCTTTGTTAACCAACAGAAAAAGTCAGGAATTTTCTCTCAAGTTTTCTAATTTCCAAACCAGGGCAAAATAGATTTGCAATTCCATTTAAAAATCATTTTTGCACAAAATCACAAGGATGCTACCTCTCATTTCTCCCCACTCATGAAGATGTCACCAGTGGCATATGGTGTCACTTCAGAATCAAGACCATAGAAAATTATGTTTAGTTTCTCTACACGTGAACTGATTTCACTGTATCATTTCACAGTCATAAGTGACAATGATATGCAGGAAAACAATTGTTCAATAATGCTTTGGGGTGAATGTATCAAATTCTAAAGATTCCCCCCCCCCCCCCCCAAAGAAAAAACAATTTTGAAGCTTTCTTCATTTTCAACTCCAGTAGTAATGGGTAAAATCTGGGGAAAAAATCCCTAATTTTTCATTTCAAAAATTGCATATTTTTCTTGTCCACTATTGCTCCTTGTCACATTGTAAGTATTGATTTATAACTGGCTTTTCCACTAGAGTTACTCAGTCAATATTAATAAGAATTTGAAAAGAAAATCTGGAGCAGGGCTCTATATCTTCCCAACTGAAACATCATCACAAAGTAATGCTTCTGGTTCTCAAAAATAATCATTGAGATATTTAATCTTTCTAAAAGGAAAAAAAAAGCCTCCTCTTTCAAAAAATGCAAATGATCAAATATAAAGCTACTATCCACTACAAAACCTATTATGAAAACAAGCAACACTAACAGCAGGGGCAGTTTTGCCTATTACATCTACACATTTAGATGTATTGTACTTGGAAAGGGTATTTTTTTCTGAATCAACAATTGTCAAGTTTACTGATTCTGATTTACTGGATTTACTTACTAGGGTTTTGACAAACAAGCAAAAACATCAAACAGATTATTTTCATTGATTTATTTTGCCAACTCAATCACAGACCTCTGGGGCAAAAGAATTTTTCACAAGATATATATCTAAGAAATTCAAAATTCTACCTCTCACTTTCCAAACAATCCCCAGAGAAATATCTGGCTCACAAATGCATCCCCTCCTAAAATATTCATAAAATTCTCTAGAGAGAAGATAGAGGAGCAGAGGATAAGGCCTTCTTACTAATTACTAACCTCAATTGTGGATTTTTTTTAATGTACTTGCGTAGCAGCAACTCATAAGAGCCAAACTATTTTTTAAATAATTGGAATGGAGGCTCTGACTGATTCTTTAGGGAATTCATTCGGTGTCACAGGTTTAGGAAGCAGGCAGGTCATTTTCAGTTATTCCTAAATGAGCAAGTCATGTCACTTTTTCCCAAACAGGGCTTGGGCTTATAACATCACCTTATTGTTGAAACTGAGTTTGCATAAAACGAATCTTCCTCTCCCTTCCCCACTTCAAACGCTAAAAACCCCTTCCTCCATTTTACGGTTTGCAAACTCCTCTTCCTGTTCTCCCCCCCCCCCCCCCCGAACACAGCTGCCCCTAACTTTCCCCTTCCAACTTCGTTTATTGCATCTCCACTTCCTGTCACCCGCTTTCCAGGAGAACATTTTCTTCCCCTCCTCCCCTTCTTCCTAAAACGTCTACCCCTCTCCCGACCCGCAAAGGGCTTCTCCCACTGCAAACCCCGTTCGGGGCCCCCACCCCGTTTGCAAGAGGCACGCACCCCCATGGAAAGGACCTTGAGCCATTCATTCCCCAACCCCGCGCACTCACTTTCCTATCTGCTGCGCCCACCTTTCTCTTGCAAAGCCGGGCTTTCGACTGCCCTACGCCCCACGGAGCAGAGCCTCTCGGGGCGCTTCCAACCCATTCGTTCCCCCCATATGACACCAAGACAAGGGGAATGCAGCCATTTTGCCTCTTTGATGTGGTTGGGGATGGGAGGGGCAAAGAGATGGCTAAGCTTTCTCCCACCCAGCCACCCCTTTCCGACCTTTTGATATTATACCCACCTTGGACGGGGGGTGATAAAATGAGCGCCCTCCCCACCTAATCCCTTACCTTGCCGCCGATGCCACCACCTCCTCCTGGTCGTCTCGCACGTGTCTTTCTAAGAAGGAAAGGTCCGCCTCTGTCCTGTAACTCACCCTTGCAAGGGAGAGCTGGTCTTCCCTCCCGCCCTCTTGCACCAGAAGCGGCTGCTTAAGCGGGCGAGGGAGGGACTCACTACCCCGAACCTTTCTCACTGCTCCAAAGGCGGAGCAGGAAGGCGCCGCCTCCTCTTCCTTGTTTCCCACGTGGTCGCCAGGCTATTAACCCTTTTTCAGTCCAAAATTTTAGCGCGACCCTTTCTCCCGTCTCCCACCCACCTCCGCCAGGATCGGATTTTTTTTATTATTATTATTATTTATTTTCGTGGGTTTCAGATCCGGGCCCTAATTTAAGGTTTGAAAAGGAAGAATTTTGGAAAACTGATTGTCTCCAGACACCTGCCTTGACAACGGAATAATCGTAGAAGAAATGATAATGACAATCATCATATCATGATCATGATAGTTTGATCTTGGGACATATATATTGTCACGGGATATACACTATTCCCAGACGTTCTGCCTCGTATTTTATTTCCTTTGAGCTTACATTCAAACCATGCCTTTTCATTTTCATCTTCTAAACCGGAATTGACTTTATTGAACAGCTGTTCCTAAGAATAAAATAAAAAAAACCCGCTAAAAAGCAAACAAGAAAATGATTCTTGTAGCCCGTTGCGAGCTAAACCACTTATGCTTTCTCGGAGAACGCTAGACGGACATCTAAAGTTTATAATGTACTGATAGCTTTTTCTTCTTCAATTCTTTTTTTCGGGGAGGAAACGAACAAACAAAAGACCCAGGTGGGAAAGTTCCGGGGAGGTACAAATGAAAGAACGTGGTCTGGATCCTAAATAAAATTCTGGAGAATATGCTGAGAATCTTCAATAGAGTCCCCTTATGTGAATATTCTGAACCCGGGTTAAATTTCTTTCTAGAGTTTTTGTGTAATATGTTACTGCACAAACTGAAAACTGGGATTTCAAATAAAAAAAACCCATTTCTCCTTCTTCAACGATAAAAGTTTACATTGTAATTCAGAAAAACGTTTTATCTTCATGGATTTCTGAAAGCCTTTGTGCCTCAACCAAACAATGTTTGGTTTTGTCAATGGGAATCTTACCCTTGGCTCAAACTCCAAATTACCACTACAGCAGTGGATTTCCAAATGTGTTTTGACCTCAAAAATTTCGAAGATCAAATAAATATCTTTAAATTTTTCAGTTTTAATTTCTCAGTTTTAAATTTCTCAGTAAATATCTATATAAAGTAAACCCAAGTAAACCCAAACTCTTTGGAGTCACCAGTCTTTTTTAAGAAAGTAAAGGTGTCATGAGAGGAAAATGTGAATCACTAACACGTGTATTCTCTTCCTTGCTTGAATGGATTTTATTGATTCATTTTACTGGAGAGCAACTAAGGAGAAATTAAGGATTTGCACACAGACTCAGAGACAGATTCTACGCACAGAAGTTACTCAGTATCTGTTATAGCAAGGACGACATACTAAACTTATATGACACCAAACTCTTACTCTCAAAATCAAACAAAACCACAACCCAATCCACAACCCAATCCACAAAAAAACATAACCCAGACAAATATTGATATCCCAATCCTCATCAGAGGAGCTGTTGAGCGTGAACGGAAACGTCCAAACGCCATCTTATTTGGTCTAGAGGGCATCAATGATAATGATGACATCACAACTGTCCGAAACATCATCAGTGATTATCAAGCATCAACCATCTCCCCTGATGAAATACTTGACATTTCCCGCATTGTCCGAGAGCTCAAAAACAGAGACGGCTCTGTGACCCCACGCTTCTGCAGGGTCATTTGCAAAAATGAATCAAGCAAACGCAAATTCATTTACACTATAAATTCACTCGCCAAAACCAACACCAACCATAAGAACCTCCGTTGTCGCCCTGACCTAACCATACAGCAACGTGCCCGCTCCTGTGTACTCCGCACTGAACTCAAAAAACGTCTAGACAATGGAGAGAAGGACCTGTACATTGACTACCATGCTGACTGTATCAAAAGTAAGTCACACATCCCGCAACTCAGCTTTAACCTTCAACCACAACCCTACCTCAACCAATCCACCATCACCCAAGACTAGGCACGCACGCCCCTAACTACCTCAATTCCAACTACTGCTGGCCTTAAATACAAGCTACTCAATGCAAGAAGCCTTGTAAATAAAATACCTGAATTTTTCCTC